GTGTAAGGATAGTATACAGCGTTGTTTGCAGTGGCCACGGATTAGAGACAGCTTAAATGTCACCTTAGGAGTGGCAAAATGAATGTGGTGCATTCACACAAAGCAACTTAAAAAATAAGCTAGACCTGTATGTTCGAACCACGAACATACTATGCAGTAAAAAAAGCAAGTTTGGAACAATATGTATCAGTTTGATTCTTCCAAAAATTTTTATATTTTTTATAAACATACATGTTATATAGGAATTTCTAGAAGTGTAAACACCAAACTGAAAGCAACTGTTATTCTGGAAGAGGCCAGGGGTGGGCTTGGAGGAGGGGTGGGGGTTGGTGAAGATGAATTTTTACTGTGTGATTTTTGTTGTAATAAAATGTACTTAAGTGTTTTCAAAATGTAAAATATATTTTAAATTAAAAAAGAGAAATTGAATGAAATCATATAACATCTTAAGATATAGAAACTGATGATTAAATCTATGAAAACATTATATTTCACAAAGCAGCGGTTAGGACTGAAAGTTCAAAAGTACTTCTCCTATTTCATTAAAAGTATATGTGTACATGTGAATATATATTTACATATACTACGTATATCTAAACATATTTATATGGATGGAATATCTATTATATCTATACAAACTACATGTATTATATTTATATATGTTTCATGTATCTCATATGTACTTATAATGAAATACATAAATGCTGCTTTGGTTATATCATAGGCAAATATCTTATTCTTTATCATTGTTTTTATTATTTATAATGGCAAGGAAGTCTCCTATGTAATTATGATTAATCTGGTAAATGAGTACAGTTTGCCTTTTAAATACTTCAATTAACTTCAGTAAATTAAAAAAGTTTTCTGACATAGTGGCAAAATTAAGAAAAAATAAATAAAGCAAGGCTTTATGATACGTAGCATCCCTTAAAATGAAATCCTTCCAAGTGTGAAGAATGCATTAAGATTTTATCAAACGAATGCCCTTTGTGTGGAAAAACCGATGTAAACTGAGATCCAAACTTTACCATTTGAGCAACACTCCTGTCGGAAGAGCAACACTCCTGTCGGAAACCGACGGGGCAGAGGGGTTATCTCAGACCTCCAGGGGGATCCCAGGAAACAAAAGCGGCTCTAAAGGGAGCCGTGCAAGACTGACAGCAAGAGGAATTCCTTTGCAGACTAGGTGAGGCTTCGGATTGGGTGTTCAGTTGCACCGAGAAGAGAGGAAGCCACTGGCCTTTCTATGCACCCAGGGGACCAGTCCTGGAGATCCTCCATGGTCTGTGCGTGTGCACGCTTCTCTGGGGGTGATCAAATCCTCCCCTCACCCTGCAGGGGGGAGACTGTGAGCAGACGGCAATCACACACCTGCTGGTCTACAGATAAGCCCTCCACATGCGGAGGCACTCGCCCAGCTGGGGCAGAGGAGCAGGGCTGCCCCATCCCCGCCCCTGTCCCCGCAGAACAAAGGGCGGTCATTTTCTGCTCCTCCCAGAGTCAGATGCACGCACACGCCTTCCATCACAATTAACTCAAGAATCAGAAACACAATACAGACTCGCCTACAACTTGCTCAGAATCAATGCCATCAATACCCAGAACGAGGATACCGAAAAAGCAAAACAAAACAAGCCTATTCAGAGAGTAAATACTCAAGGCAACAGGGCTTGAATCAGACACGCTACAAGGTCAACACATCCAAGATAAGTTCAGGTGCGGGCACCTTATAAACTGAAGAGCTGGACACTATCCCAGGAGGAAAACGTAACTGCCTTCTGGGGCCAGCTAATGGAAAGGTCTATGGAATAATAGGCAGTGGGCCTCTATTGAGCCGGACTAGAGGTGCTCCAGGTAAAACCATTCACATGCAATTCTTTTTAAAATTTCAATTTTCCTGCGACATGATTCTTGAACAGAGAGTCTATAATCAAACAGAAGAAACCGAGTGTAATATGGGTGCAGGGCGGATGAAACAGAATAAAAGTCGGAGTCAGAGATGTTGCCAGGGAGTCCGCAGGGAACGGGAGGCAGGGCAGCGGTCCCGGCTGCCACTGTTTGAATGGATGGCGACCACCGGTTTCTATCTTCAAAGGCAACAGAAAACTGAAGTTAAAAGAAATGGCGTAGTGAGCTCTACTACGAGGGGCCCGGATTAGCCAGATAGAGTCTTGACACAAGGAGTTGGGCTGGACGACATGGCGCTTGCACACACGCTCACGGGGGAGGTGGGGGCTCTGAGCCAGTGGAGCCTCCAGAAACTGTAGGTGTGGCCTCCTTGGGAGGCAAGGGGTGGGCCGAATGACCTCCCAAGGTCCTGATTTAAATATGTCTGTGTAGTCAGCCCTTGGTTATCCGGCCCAGAGAAGAAGACAGTGACAAATCATCTTAAGCTGAAGATAATAAAAAGTTATATTTGCCTTTGGAATGTATTTTGGTACTTAACTTAGAACGTGACTTTCCGTTGCCCTGGGAATTCACAATGCTTCATAATAGCCACAAAGAAGGCCTGACCCGGAGCTGGGAGGCTGCCCAATTTTGCCATCTTGTCCTCTGTGGAACTCCTCTTCTTTGTTGGGGTGAGCGATCTCATCGTCCAGAAGAACACTCAGCAAACCAAGCTCTCTCAGGCGGGGGCTGCCTGGGTCACCTGGGCCCTTGGAAAAGAGACAGGGATCTTCCCCCCATCACTAGATGACCCAGGATCAAGACCCAGGATGGTCTGGTGCTCGTTTCCAGAGGATGGTTTTAAAGGGCTGCACGACCCACAGGAAGCAGCAAGCTGGACAAGGTTTATACCTCTGCTTCAGGCTGATTACAAATGATGGCCCAGCTTCTGTGGCATACAGGACACAAAAGCCAATTTCTTGAGAGAAAGGGCAAAAGATGTCACAGAAAAGGAAGGTGAAACGAATGCCCAGCCCTTGGAAAGAAAGAGGCTGCACACTCAGCAGGTGCAGCGGCGATCCAGTGCTCCTCTCAGGGTGGGCGGGGTGGAGGCCGGCGCCTGCAGCCCGTCGTCCAAGGAGAAAGGACAACGTGATCACAGGAATAACTTGTGGGGGTCCCAGGAGGAGGGGATGGACGGCCGCCCCGCTGTTCTCTGTCTTCTGTCAGCCCCCAGGCTCTACCAGGGGAGGCTAATGTCACCCAGCAGGCAGCAGGGTCAACCAGAACATCTCAAATGAATCCAAGCCCTTTAACCAAGAGACTGGCAGAGTGGCGGGTGGCTCCAGGAGGCAGGACTGGGCCAGGAGTGCTTCTCTCTGGTGCGGAGATTGACTGCAGTCACAGAGCTGGACACAGAGACATGTTGCTTGGCCCCCACCCTACTCGGTTCACCTCAGGCAGTAAGGGTCATTACAATCATTTCTATTCTTCCCTTTTCTGTCACACTCTGCTCTTTAGTTTTTACTCGGAACTGTGCTGATTTAAATGTGGCTGTATAATTAAAATGAGATAAAATGAAAAATGCAATTCCTTGGTCACAGCAGCCACATTTCAAGTGCCCAGTAGCCACGGATGGTTAGTGGATTCCATCCATACTGGACAGCACTGGCATAGAACATCTACATCTCGCAGAAAGTTCTACTGGACAGCGTGCTAATCCAGACCTTTAGGAGGTCTAGGAGGTAGTCCCTTCGGCTCTTCACCGGGTAGAAGAAAGGAGCAAATGAAAGAAGAAATGCACTTTACAAAGAACCTTTTTAATACAGCACCACCACCGATCCTCACCACCACCCTGTGCAGGGGATTTCAATGTGCCCATTTTATAGATGAGAAAAGTAGGGGCTCCATAGCTAATTAATGTATACGAGGCTCATAGCTATTGGATGGTATGGTGAGAATTAACACCAGGTCTTCCACTCCCAAGGTCAATGCTTTCTACTGTTACATGCAACTGTTCCAATAATGTTACCTGCCAGTTACTTTGGTCAATGCTGCCATAAAAGCTCAGGTCTCCCAGAAGAAGACTGACAGCTCCCTGTAGTGTTTTTATTGATTAAATTATTTTTGAAGTGAAAACTATACTTCGTACAATGTGGTTTAGCAGCTGTTGAGTTAGGGAGCCATGGGTATAACTCCTGACTCATCTACCTACTATCTCCTTGACAGAGGGCACGTTGCTCCCCACCTTTGAACCCCAGTCTCCTTTTCTCTAAATGGGGATGATAGCACACACACTTTCTAGTGTTGCCAGGAAGACTAAATAAGCCAACACACGTAACATGAGCACAGTGCCTGGCACAGATTAGTGCTCAGTAAACAATCACTATTAATATCATCGGCAGAATGTATAGGGCACTGTCCAGTATGATAGCCTGTTGAGGAGGCTTCAGGACAGGAAGGCATGGCAGTCCCCATTTTTACAGACACTGCATCTGGATCTCAGAAGATAAGAGGGTGATCAAAGCCATGCAACTCTGGTAGATCTGGGGCATGAACTCCAGTTATTTGGTCTCCAAATGCTACGCCTTTCTTGCTCTACATTGTTGCTTCTCAGGAAAGAAGGGAGCATGGTTTAGAGGTTAGCTATATCCTTCCTAATTCCTATCTTCCCCTCTTCTTCTAAATGGACAATTAATAGATTTTTCATCCTTATGTCACACGCTGTGCAAAGGCAGACGGAGCATCCCCTTCTATCACCACTGTCTCTGTGAAACCCCTCCTGCACAGAGATTCTAGAATCCCACTAATGAGGAAGTAGCACCTGTATAACTAAGGCTTTGTAGAAAGTGCCTTGAAGCAAAGCATTCACTTTTTCTCCCTTGAAAGGGTGTGGATTAAACACCTTTCTTGGATCCACCCTCCATCCCCTCACTGCTATAACCAAAGGCAAAGAAGTAGCATACCAGAACCCCCACTGAGCCCAGCCAAGACCTGTAAGTGGGCATGTATGTTGTCGAGAGCCACTAGATGTTGGGGTTATTTGTTTCTCAGCCTTATCACAGTAAAAGCTGACTGATGCATCCATCAAACACAAGGTGGAAGGCACTTACCCTGCCACAACGATCTCAAAGTCCCCATCGTGGTCCACATCAGTCACTGCCACACCATAGTTGAGCTGGGTGGGGTTGCTGTCATAGTCGGGGGGCAGGACCGAGTTGGTGACTGCCGTGAACATGGGTTCAGTCCGCGTGGACCCCTCAGTGGGGGGCAGAAACCACAGCAGAAACAGGAACAGAAACATCCTGAACATCTGAAACCAAAAGTCACAAATGTCACGGAAAGATTTCCTAGCTAAAGCAACTGGGGAAAATCCAACCCCCAGTGGACCCAGAAGTGCCTCTCTTCCCCGCTCACGAGAGGCCCGGCCACTCTGACCCTGCCATCTCCCCCCACAAAAGACCTGCTCTGTCCTTCCTCTTTAAAACTCCCTCTGCCTGCCCCCTCCTCACACCTGGTCACCCATATCCTGCTCTGCCTTTTCTTTTTCCACAGTACCTATCCCTGAAAAGCACACCTATCCGTTAGGTTTATTTTGTATTGTCTGACTCCCTCTGCTAGAAGGTAGGCTCCACCAGGACAAGGATCTTGCCTGTTCTGTTCATGCATGTGCACAAGCCAAGGATGGTGTCTGGCACATAACAGGCACTGAATAGCTGTTTGTTGAGTGGGTGAACGAAGGAAGGAAGGAATGGTAGAGAATCAATACACAGGCATCTCCCATACTCTGGGAGAAAGATTGGGAGAATGAAGAAAATAACAGCTTTCAAGCGGTCCAGGGGTAGGGTGAGCCCCCCACGGGCGCCCAGGTCTGGAACAACAGTGGAGGCAGGGCAGAGCCCAGAGGCAGTCTGGAGGGAGTCTGACTTTGCAGGCTTCCCTGGCCGAGGTCCCTCGCCAGGGCAGCTGGCCATGGCCTCTGGACCAGGAAGCAGGCATTTAGGGAATGTATTCCAGCAGGGAATGCATTCCAGCAGGACCTGGTGGGCAGCTCATCATTCACTTGGAGAAATTAAACTGTTGCGTGTGTGTTTTATTATAAATTAATTATGTATAATCTATTGTATAATTCATTCTTATATCACTAACATAACTCAGGGTGTTGCCGAGCAGCCTGGGGCCACGGGAGCCTGTGGCTCACACCCAGGAGACAGATGGGAATGGACAAGGAGGTGGAAGGACTCCGCCCCTCCTTTCCTGAGCGAGGGAGACGCTCAGGACGCTGCCAGCGCACCTTGCGCCTTGCAGAGACCCTGCCCGCAGGCCTAGGATCAGGACTCACAGGGTGCGTGAAGGGCTCTGCTGGCACAAGTCCCACCGAGGCTGAGGGGGTCCAGTCCCACAGGGAAGATGGGGGCTTCCTGCCTTCAAAAGGTAGCAATGCCCTTCCTGACGGAATTTTTCCTGCTGGCTTGTCAGTGCGTCTAGCAGCTGAGAGCAAGGCTGAGAGTGATGTCTTAATGAAGAGAACGTCTGAAGACTGACTCCCCATTACGGAGACAGGTACTGCTGCCAGCAAATAAGCTTGCTTCAGTTCAGAACCAGAGGCCAAACGAAGGCCCAGGCACTGCCTTCAGAGCCAAACACGACACGGAAGCCTCCTGAACGCCTTGTTGGAGGGGCAGGGTTCCGGCTGGAGGGCAGATACTAACCTCGGGGAGCCTCCGTGAGAAGGCGGTTCTTGGGGTGTCCTCACGGGGCACTGTTGGGCACTGCACTATCCGAGTCAGGTCAGTTCAGTCCAAATGAAAGAGCTGTCCGAACAAGGCAGCATTTTCCACTGGGCTGTCTAATCACCAATGCCAAACCCACTGCTAGGAGACTTTGCAACTCCGTGGGAAGTTTGGGTGGATAAAGGAAACTCATAATTGGATTAATGAGCAGCTGGGGGTGGGGAGACATATGGGAAGCTCAAGAGCTTTTTCTAACTGGTGCAGACAGGCTGAAATGTAGTGTGGACCTGAAGGTCACCAGACTTTTCAAGGTATGACCTCTATTGTAAGGACAGCAAATGCATTTCAGCTTGAGATCCAAATCCAATTGATTGGCAGTGGCTTGAAAGAGTATTGTGATCAGCTTACATCTGTAATGGGCATGAAAGAGAAACATGGCATCAGGTATGCCTTCTGGAAGCTAGATTGTTCCTCCCATGCACCACCCTAATGGGAGGCAGGTCCTATCAGGGTAACACCAGCAACTGGGAGAAACTTTCTGATGAAGGCCACAGGGGGCAAGAACCATGATCCAGCCTCCGGAGTTTTACCTTTTCTGTGCAACTTTTAATTAAAGGAGCCAGATGAATGAAGTGGCTGCTCCATGCCATCCATTTCTAGATAAATAACGTAAAGCAACATTAAGAAGAAATAATACCCCCATGGTCTGACTCCTATTTTGCCTGGTGACTTGGAACAAGCCATGGTCTCATTGGGTCCCAGCTTTCTTCTCCAAAATTAGGGTTTGGGAAAAGAGCTCTATAAGTCCCTTCCCAGCTCTAAAATTTTAGAATGGATTGAAGAACTTTTTTAAAAAAATGTAGACTTTCATCAGTTTTCTTCCCAGTTTCTTCTATAACCTCACACCAACCTGTGGAATGTTCCTTGCTGAGCATATTAGACAGAGTTTGAACTACACAGCTTTTCAGCAGGGGTCTCCAATAGTTCCCTGCTGGGGTCCAAGGCCAGAGAGGGATCGGGCATCATTAGTGTGGGACCTGAAATCACCTGGCACGGGTGGACCAGTGCAGAGCCTCCCCGCTGGGGGCGGGGGGAACGCTCCTTTATGTTTTAATCCTCTGCCACGTCAAAGGTGCCCGATGCACCCGCCGGCGCTGCTTAGTACCTGCCGGGTTGATGGTGGGCTGGGGGCCTGCCCTGATGGTGGACTTGGAAACAGTCACGGTGAGGAAACTTAGAAAAGGTCTATAAAACTCCACTCTCCACTCTCCAGGCTCAGATGAAGGAACTCACCAAAATGCAGCTGGCCACTCAGAGTGGTCCCCACAGCAGCAACATTGGGGGCACCAGCAGGGAGTTTGTTAAAATGCAGAATCTTGGGCCTTACCCCAGACCTACCAGATCAGAATATGCGTTTTAACCAGATTTCAGGTGATTTGAATGCAACTTATTTAAAGTTGCAACTTAAAATAAATAAGTTGAATGCAACTTATACACTTATTTAAAAACTACTTTTGCCTTCAAGCAGTTCTCAGATTGTACCATGCCTACAAATCACCGGAGAGTCTTGGTCAAATGCAGATTCTAATTGGGTAGGTCTGGGCTGGGGCCTCAGAGTCTGCATTCCAGCAGGCTGTCAGGTGACGGCTGGGCTGCTGGTCCACAGACCTCACTCGCAGCAGCCAGGCTCTGCACCAGTGGTCCTAAACCTGGGCTGCCCAAGAGAATCACCTGGGAAGTATTTAGAAATATGCTCCTGCCCACGCCCCTCACTCAGACTTAATTGGTTTGGGGTGGGGCTTGGACGCTGCCTATTTTTAGGAACCTCCTGGATGACGTTAATGGGCAGCCCGGACTGAGAACCCCTGGCCCAGACTCAAGGTCCCCAGATGGGAGTGGAAGTCTGCAATCTGATTTGAAGTGAAAAATGTTTCTGCTGCCGAAATTCATCACCCGCTTGTTGAAGTATATGAAGAAAATCTATTTAGCTGGAGAGTGTCAAAGGAGGAGGCGGAGTAGGGAGTTTGGGGAAGAAAGCAGAGAGGATGGTACTGCCTGCGGCAGCAAGGCAGCAGGCACCCTGAGTGACCTCTCATTTCACAAGGCTGGCTCGGGGAACCTCCTGTCACACCCCTGTGAGCAGCTGAATCTTTGGGGAGACAAGTTAAAAATAGAATTAAACAGTAGGTTGGACAGAACTTTTTTGTTCTGTTGAATGCCTGGGTGTCGAGCATCGGCATCACAGCGCTGCGAGTGGTGCCTGCAGGCAGGAGCGACACCCAGCAGCGAGTGTAAGTGCGCCAGCAGGAGGAGGCGAGGCCACCCATCCCAGGCAGTGCGTGGGCAGAGGGGTGCAGGCCCGAGGGCTGGTGCCTCCACAAGGAAGGCGTCTGCTCCTGCAGAGGAGGCGTGGGGAGGAGGAAAAGAGGGGTCTCGACAAGGGTGAGAGACGGTAGGACTTGTGTGTCAGGCAGTAAGAAGAATTGCTTTTAGTAATAATTTCTTAAAAATGCTTTCTAAGCAAACTTCTTGACCAAACCTCAGCAGAATGAAGACAGGAAAAACAAAACCCAATGCCTGGAGCTGGGGACCTGGATTTGGATCTAAAGCCACCATAAACTCTCTGGTGACTTTGGATATGCTCCTGAATCGTTTTTGATTTTCAGTGTCCTTGTCTGTAGCATGGGAATCACATGATGTGCCCAGGTTTTAAAAGTCAAGTGAACTGGTGAAGACCTTGCGGGGGGCCAGGCAGGACAGCGCCTCACTGCTCACGTCCCCTCCTTCCCCAGATTGTGCTAAGTAAGGTTAGATAGTCTTTAGACATTGGCTGCAGGTCACAGGCAGCCAAACTCAGTTTTCTGTGGCCTCGGGACTTTCCTGAATTGGGTCTGAAAACTGGTAACCAAGCAACCTAGATGTCTGATGTGGGTCCAGGCAGCTGTGGGGAGAGGCTTCCAGGGCAATTTTCGGGGCAAGCAGTTATTTAGCAATTATCGAAAGAGCCAAGGATACCACCTTGAGCTCTCACAAAAGCGAGAGCCCTGAATGCTTCAGATATTGGGAGTGAGCAAGGAGCACAGAGCCTTCCCAGACACAGTAGGAGGGCAGGGGCTTGAGGGAGAGCAGAAGCTGCACAGAGACCCACAAAGGAATGCCCAGGACTAAGGCATCACTGGAGAGGAGCTGAGAGAAGCTGCCTTGGCTCATTCACTCACATCGAAACTTCCTGTGGACCCCCAAGGAGCCGGGGATTGTGCTCAGCAGCACTGGGGTCACAAGGAGAAAGCTGGTCAATATTGGCCAGAGAGGGTGAGGGGTGCAGTGGAGGAGGGAGCACACAGCTGTCTAGATCAGCTGGGAGGAGCACTGGGGAATGCTTCCTAGAGGTAGGGGTGTAGCTAGACCTCAAAGGATGCTAAGACCTTAGCAGGACAGGGAGGGAAGGAGAAAGAAGAGAAGACAGAGAGCAGATGCCTCAAAGGTCTGGAGGACCCAGCTGTCACCCCCATCTACCCTTCTAGCGCTGCCTATTTAAAGGCCCCAACTGCTGGGACAAGTTAGGAGCAAGCCTTCCTCT